CTTTGTTAGGGTGTGATTGGCCACCCAAAAGTTTGTCCTTTTAATAAAACTATAAAAACAGGTTTAAAGTTTATCAAAGAGATAAATTTTGATCTATGAAAAAAAAACAGATTGGGTTCAGGAGTCGGTTACGTGTGGGGAAGGATTAGCACCCTCACAACGCCTATAAATTGGTACCATTTAACTATGCGCTATTTTTGGTGTTGAATAAAAATGGTTTTAATTTGAAATTTAACACTCATTCCCTTCATTTGGAAAAATAAAATTTTGCTAAAATTTTTATTTAGAAATATTGAAAAAATCTTTAAGTTAAAGAATTATCTTAAAATTCTCCAACATCTAGGCAAAATTTAAAATAACTCCTTTTATTTAAGATTTAACACAATAATCCTTAAAATGAAATAACAATCTTTATAGAAAATAATTATTAGTGACTCTCCAACATCTAGGTAGAGTACCAAGAATTATTTCTTTCGAAATGTTATTTTTATTTTGCTTTATAATATCACCAAAAAAAAATTTTTAAGCATTATTTTTTATTATAAAATATTTTATCATCAAATAGTAAATGAAAATTAAAAATAGAATAATGCAAATAATTACCAATGATAACACGCTAACGAATGTATGCCAATGAATGTTATGTGAAATGAGATGTAACTTTAAAGTTGGGTTCTTAAGTATAATGAGACTACCACGACTCTACAACATCTAGACAGAGTTTAGGTGCAACTATTTATATTTAAGATCCCAATTTACTGTTATACTTTTTATTCATTAATCTTATTACTAATGCAAATTAAGAAATCGTGTGCAAAGATTTAACGAAGTAAAATTTCTTAAATACCCCATTATCTAGGCGGCATTCGGGAACAAATTACTTCAAATGAGATTTTCACACGTGTCCTTAAGATTTTAAGGACGTTTTGAGTAAGAGCTTGGGTAGAGATTTTCAAGGTTAGGGTTTTAAGATTTTAAAGATTCGGATTTTAAGGGGTTTGGATTTAAGTTTTGAGGGTTTTAAGGTATGGAAAGTTTAGGGTTTTGATTTTAAAGTTTGAAGATTTTAGGGTTTCGGTTTTAAAATTTGAGGTTTGGAGTTTTGATTTAAGGGTTTGAATTTTAGGAGTTTGGATTTAAGAGTTAAAGGTTTGGGATTTCAGATTTTATGGGGTTTTGGATTTTAGAGGTTTGGATTTAAGGGATTTTGGATTTTAGAAGTTTCGGATTTTAGGATTTTGAATTTTAGGGGATTTTGGATTTTAGGGGTTCTAGAAACCTAAGATTTTGAAAATTAAGAATTAGTATTTAAGGTTTCGTTTTTAAGAAAATACGAACATCTCTAAAAATTTTCAACATCTAGGCGGATTTCGAAGCAAATTCGATTTTAATGATTTTTTAAAATGAATTAAAAAAACTAATATATTTCTTTATGAAAATTTATTAATAATAATTTCTTAACATTTAGGCGAAATTATTTTTTAGGAATATGTTTTATTCTCTGTAACATCTAGGCAGGAAAAATAATAATAATTATTATATTATTATTATCTTAAGTATTTTAATATATATTTTTAATTATTATCTTACTTACTTTCATTTTTATTATTATTAAAACAATTAAAAATTTATCCTAACAAATTGAAGAACTTATCATACATAAATATATATAAAAAAAATACTTAGAATAACAAAAATAATAATATATAAAAAAAATTCAAAAAAAAAATTTTTTTTACCTGAATCGGACCAATCAACGGTTCGGTCAACCGCGGTTCGATTGGACCGAAAAAGGTTCGATTCGACGCGCGGTTCGGTTGAGCTGGTTGAAGAACAGATCGAACTTGTTCGATCGGTTCACTAGTGGTTCATTTGAACTGACTGGAGGTTGACTGAGACAGGTCGACTGGTCGATTTGTGAGGATCTCAGGTCGGGTTCAGTCTGCGCGTGGATCCTCTTATGCTTGAAATGGCGTCGTTTTGGCCTTATGCTCGAAACGACCTCGTTTTGCTTCTATGTGTTCTATAAAAGTCAATTTTTTTTTAGCTATTTCACCATTTTCACCAAAAAAAAATTTCAGAGCTTTCGGTTCTCTCTGTCCTCCGCCGAAATCCGATGCCGTGCGCTGCGCCGGCCGCCTTGTGGGTCGCCACCAGTGGTGGTGGCCGGTGACCTAAAATTCTGAAATCCTTTTGGAAGCTCCTTTCGACGCGATCTTTCCAGATCCGATCTCCTTTTCGACGGAAATGACCCCGATCGATGTAAATCGGGGTTCGAAGTTTTATGTTCTTCTCTTTTTTTTTTTTAAACTCAAACTAATAACCTTTCTTTTTTGTTGCAGGTATCTCCTTGGCACTAGGTTCCTCGTCGATTGGGTGAGGACTGTGGTTTCTATTTTTATGGTTTTTTTTTGTTGATTTTTGTAGATTTGTTTGTTTTTCTATTTGGGCATTTGGGGGGTTGTTTGGGTTTTTTTTCGTCTGAGAGGTTGTTGGTAGGGGTATATGTTTTTTGGTGTTCTAGTGAGGGGATATTCGAGCGTTTCAGCCAGCTTTGAAAGGAGGGAGAATCGAGTGTTTTATATGGTTAAAAATGGTGGTAGCATGTGCTGATGGAGTGAAGGAACTGGACGAAAGGGTGGTATGATGGTTGGGGTAGTGGCAGGGCGTGAGTGGCCGAAGGTGCCGTGAATGGCACCTGCTGGCACCAGCCCTTTTCATTTTGTTTCTTTTGTTTGGATTTTTCGTTTGTCTTTCTTTCTTTTCTTTTTCTTTTTTTATTTAAAATTTTAATTTTTTTAATTAATTAATTTTTTTAGATTATAAAAAATGTAGATCCAGACAAAATCCGGTGTCTTTAACACCAAGTTCATAACTTCATATCATGGTCTCCACATTTTCTAAACCGTCATTTAAAGCCTATAACATATTACTGCTACTTGGATGCAGGAAAACAAAAGTCATTTCCACGACACCTACTGGTCTTTTAACACTTCTCAATCACCTCTTCTTCACAATGGCTTCAAGAATTCCACCAGTCAGATAAATACTAGGTCATATATGCTGCTTGATCAAACTTATGATTCTATAATTCACTTACAACTTTCAAGCAATGATCTAAATGACACAATGGCTTCAAGAATTCCACTCGTAAAAAAAATATTTGGTCATACATGCTGCTTAATAAAACTTATAATGCTATAATTCACTCACAACTTCCAAGCAATGATCTAAATGATTTCAGATTTAATTCACTTTTTAGTACTATCTTCTAAGGTAAACAGAGTTTTAGAGGATAAAGCATGTATTTTTACAAAAACAGAGAGCATCTTTTAACATAACCTCCATAAGAAAATACAAAAAGAAGATTAAACGAGGAAAATGAAACAATAACATAATAATTAAAACCTGATGTAACAATCCGTAGTTGGTCAAATCATTTTGTTGCCCTCGGAGCCAAACGCTGGGCATGCTCAATCTGACAGCATCTGCACCCAAAACCAAATACCAATCACAAGAGCAAAAATCTTAAAGTCAAAGAAACTAAAGATACTTATCACTGAGTGAGAATTTTTTATACAGTGCTTTTGTGAAATTAAATCGTAATCATTCAAAAGTTTCTGATTTCAAAGACATTGTCAGACATATTCAAGCAATAGACATAAATTTTTCATGAAAAAGAACAAATCCTAACGACAATTTTAGGTCAATTTTTTTTCTCCTTAATAACCGTACCAAAATGCAACATAATAATACCATATAATTCAAAGCTTGTAGAGATAGATACATAATTAGATCATTTGGAAATTCAAGATAGCATGCACCAAAGATTAAAATCCAAACAACTCATATTAACATCAAAACAAAAATATGAAAAAAAAAAAAAAACTATCACATGATATATAAACTTTTATCAAATTTTTTATTAACAAAATATTATATAGGTCTCGAAGCGAAATTCGAGAAATTATCTTAATTTTATTTAGGTTTGGCCTAATTCGAGTAAACTTTTGGTCCATATTAATAATAGCTTTTTCCTTAGCCCTAATACACCTGCAGAAAAAGTGGGTGCTAGGTTGGACTGGACTTTGCTTGAAATTTCAAAACCAAGCCCACCTTAAGCTTGATCCTTTAATTTACACCCAAGAAAGAAAATAACGACGGAAAAATGCATACAATAAGAAGACTAAAGAGTGATTAGCGTCTTCTAAATCTTAGTGTATTAGTCAGAAAATTGTACAAGAGATAAGCTAAAGATAATCAGAATTTATCTTAATAAAAGCACAATAATAAATCTTAATCCATTCTAAGATTAAGGTTTATGGTATTATATTTTAATTTATGATGACAAAAATTAGTAATTTTATTGATGAAATTACATGCATTAATAAAAATTATAATCATGATCAAATAATTTTTAACATAAAATAAATTTGAATTTAAAGAGAAATTATCTTTTCCACTTAATGAAATTTTTAGATTTCGGATTAGTAAGATAATACATATCTTTTATGATATATTAAAAAATAAAAAATAATTAAAAAATGAGATATGTAATAATCTCTTAATCATTATTTTAGAGTTAAAAAATTTTCTTTGCCAACGTATGAAAATCGAAATTTAAAAAATAAATATAACTTTTAGGAATTAAAAGATTGATTACATAATTATCATCAAGTAGGATTACTCTCAAGCCTCTTTAAATTATAAACTGATAAAAATGGATAGAGATAGATACCTTCGTTATCATTTTACTCATTATTTTTTTTAATATATTTATCGTTATCGTTGTTTATATGTGTTCGAGTAGCAACAGCTTTAATTAACGAGAATATATACAATCAAAAACAGCCATAACTGTAATACGAAAGAATTAGCAGTCGTTCTTCTGTAAAAAATTTTTTGTCGAATCAGGGAATCCACTGATTTCTTCTCTTTTCTCTTTTGCTTTCAAAATATTTAACATTCAGTTCATTGGATTTCTTTCCTTTTATGGTTAGTCCGGAAACTCTTTTGATTTCCTTATCATTTCTGGGGATTTTTCCATTTAATGTTCTGAAAACATGAGGATTATGAATCCTATCATTCAAAACAATTTCCAACTTAATGTTTTTGTTTGTCGATTTACAGCTTCAGTCCATCAATAATAATGGTGAAGGTGGGTAAAAGGAACCATTTGAGACAGCTTCTTTTATGGCTAATAATGATCATTGAGTTATTACTCTTTTTCTTTGTTTGCTCTGCTGAAATTCCAGCCAGGTTCTTCTTTTGCTCTTCCTCATTCTCCCATATTTTTTCCTTGTTCTATTCTGTATGTTTCTCTGCCTGCGCCTTTTTTGCTTATGGGACGGATAACAGAGAGAGTTGATTAGGCCTATTGGTTTGGGGCACCATAACTTTTTCACACTTAACCTAAAGCATAGGCCATGATTGAATTGTGAGCTGTGGCCATAAGTTTTAATAAGAGTTGTTATCCCAACAGTTCCTCATCTTCTCTGTGGCAAGGCTTTTTGGGTGGCAATAAAATTCTCTGGGACCTTTTTTTTTTTTTTTCTTGCATCAACATGAGAATGCATGGTTTTTTTTTTTTTTTTTTTTTCCTTTGGCAGCATCAAAATTCTCAAGGTAGTTGTATCTTTCAAATCAAAGTTTCAAATTCAAATTCTAGAATTTTTTCAGTATTAAGTTTGTTCTTTAATACAAGTTTTTTTTTTTTCAAATTAGTTGAAGAATGTTGGTATTCTATTATGTATTTTGTTTTTTCTTTCTTCAAAATTGTTTACATACCCAAATTAGGTCAGCAACTTTTTTCTCTACTACTCATTGCTTGGAGCATCAAGCTTTGGGTACTCTTTCTACTTGTTTTCATGGACAAACATGAACACATATTCCTGGATGTTTGAATTGCAGAAAAATTCTAGAGGGTGGAGACAGTGACCCTCATGAAGTCTGCAGGTTGCAAACAAGTGATCAGAAAGTAAGATCACATTCCCCCTCTTACAAGGTTCTAAGCTCGGTATATGTCAATGGTAACAGAAAAGAAAATTAATTCAATTTGCTTTATTGCAAGAAAGTGGAAAATTTTGACATAAAAATATGAATTTTTGTTTAGTCTTTCTTGTTTTATTGTTCATATCATAGTATATTATCAAATGAACTTTTTCAGGTGGTTATTGATAATGGACTTGTTGAAGTCACTATGGAGAATCCATCTGGTTATTTGACAGGAATAAAATATAAGGGACTTGATAATGTGCTTGAAAGTAGAAACCACAACCACAACAAGGGGTATGCACTTTTTAATCAACTAGTCTGCAAATTTCTCTTCTTCCTTTTGTTTTTTTGTTTTTTCCTTAATTTCTTTTTGTTTTTCAACTTTCCAATTTTTGGAAAAACCATGTTCTCCTTTGCTTACTTTTTTTTTTTTTTGGGGATAAAAAAATGGAATATATTCTAGGTACTGGGACATTGTATGGGATCATGGTGTTGACAAGTAAGATCTTCAGCCTTTTGCATTAATGATTTCATGAATATCATTTGTTTAATTGACACTAGTGTTTGCTTGCATGCTTCTGTAGAATAGAAACAAAACATGTCAAGGTCATAACACGAACTGATGACCTAGTAGAGCTTTCCTTTACCAAAACATGGAATTTTACGGCAGACCATGGCAATTCAGTTCCCTTAAACATTGACAAAAGGTATGCAATTGTTATACAAAAAAAAAAAAGAACAATTTTGATGGCCGATCTTAACTTGTGCTTATTTTTAAAATTAATCTTCCAGGTTCATTGTCCGGCGAGGCGTTCCAGGGCTCTACATGTATGGTATTTTCGAGCGCCAGGAAGAATTTCCGGATGCTCATATGAACCACATAAGGATTGCTTTCAAACTCAAGGAAGAGAAGTAAAACAAAGATGAACCCTTGATAGATAACTATATAGAATTCATTTTTGCCTAAACAGTGACGAAAATTAATTTCAATTTTCAATGTTTCTGTGACATTTTCAATCAGGTTTCGATTCATGGCGTTGTCAGACACCAGACAAAGGATAATGCCTAGTGCAGGAGATCGAGGTTATCAGACTCTTGCCTACAGAGAAGCTATGATATTGACCAATCCATTAGATCCACAACTTAGAGGAGAAGTATACACTAAACTAAAGTTCTATTCTAAATATTCGACCACACATCGCATTAATTAATTTTATACATGAACAGTCGATAATTTCTTTTGGTCTGTATCTCTGTGCTCTAGAGTATACTACTATAAATCCCGTCATAACTGTTTGTTGGGGCGCAGATTGAGGACAAGTACCAATATTCTACTGAGAACAAAGATAACAAGCTTCATGGGTGGATATCCGACGATGATGCCGTTGGTTTCTGGATAATCACCCCAAGCGACGAGTTCCGAATTGGTGGCCCACACAAGCAGGGCCTCACTTCTCATCCTCGTTCCACTGCTCTCTCCGTAAGTCTATTTATTTATAAGCCAACACAAACCTATATACATGTGATCTTCCATTCAACTTGAAATTTTTGTTTAAAATTTGATTCTTTCCATGATCTAGATGTTTGTTACAACTCATTATACCGGGAAAGATATAGACACAACATATAAGAAAGGAGAGCATTGGAAAAAGGTTTTTGGTCCTGTTTTTATCTATCTTAATTCCGCTTCTTCCGAAGATGATTATCGCAAGACACTTTGGAATGACGCTAAAAGACAGGTTTGTTAACTGCCAGTGGCCATTCGAGTATTCATTTTGTAATTACTTTATATGATATATGTGTAAAATAGAAAAATTATTAAGATATAATTCGGATCAATATATCAAATATAAAACAGATTTTTATAATAGATTTTAAATATAAAACAGATTTTTGTTTACAGATTTTCATTTTGCTTTCATCAAATCTATGTAAGTGGTTTGTTAAAATTTTAAAAATTGTGTTTTTTTTTTTGTATTGTGTTTAAAATTATTAAATTTATTGCTAACTCACTCAGGTAATTTTTTTCTTCACATCTTAAATTATAGTATCGATTATTAATCAATTAACTCAATTAACATTTTTTTTTTTTTGTGTACCATTAGTTGAGTGAGGAAATTAAAAGCTGGCCGTACAATTTCACTCGATCAGAAGATTTTCCTCATGCTGAACAACGAGGAGAAGTTAGCGGCCAATTACTAGTGGGAGAACGGTGTTTGTTTAGCTAAATTGATGGCCCTTCCTTTCTTGTGTTTTATCATCTTCATCCAATTAATTTAGTACATATTTGCATAAGCTTATCTTTAAATTTCTCGATTCGATCAGATTCATCCATAAGGAATTAGTGCAGGCGCAATCTGCCTTTGTGGGGTTGGCACCGCCTGGAGATGCAGGATCATGGCAAAAAGATGGAAAGGTTTTGCATCTTATTTATAGACACATATCAAGATTCAAGTGTAACGAGAGACTAAGACACTGATTTTTGTCATCTTTTTTTCTATTTCCAGGGCTATCAATTCTGGACTCAAACTGACAAGAAAGGCTCCTTCCATATAAAAAATGTTCGACCCGGGGAGTATAATTTGTATGCATGGGTCCATGGTTTCATTGGAGACTACAGATTAGATCTCAACGTCACTATCCAACCAGGTAAAATTAATCTCCAAATGATTGTACTTCGGACCCATTTCAACTAGATTTCATTGGAGATCCATTAACAATTTCTGAATGCAGGAAACAAGATCAACTTGGGTTCTCTTATATATGATCCTCCAAGAAATGGCCCCACATTGTGGGAAATCGGGATTCCTGACCGGACAGCTGCCGAGTTCTTCATACCGGAACCGTACCCAACATTTGTGAACTCATTGTGCCTCGATGACGCGGACAAGTAAGCTCTGTCTAACTACATGATCACCGCCTTTCTGTTTAAAGATTTCAACGCAGATTTCATTAACTTAAAATTATGTTTTACAAATGAACAGATATAGACAATACGGATTGTGGGAACGCTACTCAGATATTTATCGTCACGGTGATCTGGTCTATACTGTGGGTGCTAGTAATTATTCTCGGGATTGGTTCTTTGCTCATGTTGTCAGGTGCCCGTTTCAACTCTCTAATTCCTGAAGATCCTTGTATATTTTTCATGGTGCTAATATTTTCAATTACAGGAATATAGGGAACGGCGCAAACCGGCCAACCACATGGCAAATTAAATTTAATCTCGAAGATGTGAACGAGACAGGACATTACACTCTCCAATTGGCCTTGGCAGCAGCTTCTTATGCTGAAATACAGGTATAAATCTCAATTCACATCCTCAGCCATCGTTTATCAGGGGTAATCTTTACACTTCGTTTCTGATGAATCCTTATCCAATGCAATCATAGGTTCGATTCAACAATCCAGAGGATGTTCGACCTTATTTTACAACGAGGAGAATAGGTTACGATAATGCTGTAGCACGGCATGGAATTCATGGATTGTATAGATTGTACAGCATTGATGTACCTGGTAATAGAATTAAGAAAGGGGACAACACAATCTTTCTAACTCAGACAAGACATCAAAGCTCATATGCAGCAGTTATGTATGACTATATTCGATTAGAAGGACCTTCAGTTTAATCAATTTGTCATGTACAAATAGAAGATAGCTAGTTTATATTCTTTCAGGTTGTAATGATCATAGGCGTTGCTAGTGAATTTTGATTCAAGCCTGATTATAGCTAAAATGCACAGTTAGATAAGGAAATATTTATCGGTCCTTTCTTTGAATTCTTTGATGTTGGCAACTATCCAGTTTCCCAATTGCAAATAGACCACCCTTTTTTCCAAACTAGATAGAGCAGTCCCAGGCATAGTCAATTAAAAAAATTACCCCAAAACACTCCAGAAAAACTAGTTTAATATATATATATATATATATATATATATATATATTTTGTGAAAACTGAATGTATATTGAAAAATTATTTATCTACAATTATACAAGAATCTTATGTTTATATACAACTAACTAGGGGTTAAATTAGAAAACTAAATCTTCCTTAATTCTAGAGATACAAATATAAATATACATATTACAATATTACAACCAGCTGTAAATAAGTGTTTTCCCACACTCTCCCTCAAGCTGGTGAATAGGTATTTTCCATTCCCAGCTTGAAAATAATTTCTTGAAATGTTGCACTATTGAGACCTTTAGTCAACACATCTGCAAGTTGACTCTTGGTTGATACATAAGGTGTACAAATCAACCCACTGTCTAGTTTCTCCTTTATGAAATGCCGGTCTACTTCAATGTGTTTTGTTCTGTCATGTTACACAGGATTGTGTGCAATGCTTATTGCAGACTTGTTATCACAGTAGAGTCTCATTGGTCCATCCCACTTGATCTTGAAGTCTTCTAGGATAATTTTTAACCATAGTAGTTCACAAATTCCTTGAGCCATTGCTTTGAACTCTGCTTCAGCACTTGATCTTGCCACCACATTCTGTTTTTTACTCCTCCAAGTCACAAGATTACCACCTAAGAAAGTGCAGTAGCCTGAGGTAGATCTTCTATTAGTTACTGAACCTGCATAATCAGCATCTGTATATACTTCTAGAACTAACCCCGAATCTCTTTTGAATAAGATACCTCTCCCAGGATTGGCCTTCAAATAGTGCAATATACTGTAGACAACCTGTAGGTGCACTTCTTTAGGACTATACATAAATTGACTTACCACACTCACAGCATATGCTATATCAGGTCTAGTATGTGAGAGATAAATGAGTCTTCCAACTAATCTTTGGTACATCTCTCTATTTATAGCAGCATCTTCATTAGCTTCTCCAATTTTATGATTAGGATCTATAGGGGTATTTGCATGTTTACATACAAGCTTTCCAGTTTCTTTCAGAAGATCCATCACATATTTCTGTTGTGAGATAAAAATACCATGTCGTGAGTGAGCTACTTCAATTCCTAGGAAGTAGTTCAATCTCCTTAGCTCTTTTATCTCAAATTCTTTAGCCAAACACTGTTTTAGAGATTCTCTCTCTTTTTCATCATCTCCAGTTACAATTATATCATCAACATACACTAATAGAACTGTGACTCTCCCTGAATCAGAGTGCTTGATAAACAATGTGTGATCTCCTTGACTCTGTTTATATCCCATTGCTAGCATCACTTTGGCAAATCTCCCGAACCAAGCTCAAGGAGACTATTTAAGGCTATATAAAGCCTTTTTTAACCTGCATACTTTGTTTGCTTCTAGATGATCTTCAAATCCCGGTGGAACCTTCATATATATTTCTTCTTCCAAATCACCATGTAAAAAAGCATTCTTTACATCAAATTGTTGAAGCTGCCAATTGTAATTTGCAGCTAATGATAACAAAATCCTAACTATATTCATCTTGACAACTAGAGCAAAGGTTTCCTGGTAATCCACTCCATAGGTTTGAGTGTAGCCCTTAGCCACTAACCTGGCTTTATACCTTTCAACAGTATCATCTACCTTGTATTTTACAGTGAAAACTCATTTACACCCCACTAGATTTTTTCCTTTAGGCAACTCTACCAGTTTCCATGTCTGATTTTTCTCTAAGGCCTCCATTTCTATTTTCATGGCTTGCCTCCATTTCTCAATGGATAATGCCTCGGATAATGTAGTTGGAACAGAAATAGTGTTTAGGCTCACAAGAAAATTTTTGTGGGATGGTGAGAATTTTTCAAATGATACAAAATTAGATATTGGATATAGTGGATGCTTGGTACATTCTCTGGTTCCTTTCCTAATGGCAATAGGCAAATCATAATCACTAGTTATAATTTTAGGAGATTCATGCTCATTTTGAGAAACAGAGTCAAAAACTGTAGTTACCTCATTTTCAGAGTTAAGATCAGGTTCTTGGACTGGTACTGGTTCAAGATCTGAAACTTTTCTTCTTGAGTACACCTGTAATTCCTTCATAGAATCAAGAACAATATTATCCTTTGTCACATCTTTCGTATTTGGAATGGGTTTAGACTCAAATTCAATGTTTGACTTGGGCTCAGCAGAAATAGGTTTCGACTCATAAGAATTAATGGGTGTAAATGTTGAAGAATGAGGCAAATCAAGCAAAAAGAAATAGTGTTTAGGCTCACAAGAAAATTTTTGTGGGATGGTGAGAATCTTAGGTTTATATACAACTAATTAGGGGTTAAACTAGAAAACTAAATCTTCCTTAATTCTAGGGATACAAATACTTAATTCTAGATATACAAATATAAATATACAGATTACAAGATTACAACCAACTATAAATAAATATTTTTTCACACACATATATATATATAAATATATATACATATATATCACAAAACGATCTTTGAACAAAAGCCAAAAATTAAGGAATATTTAAATCAAAGTAAGTTAAGTTTGTGAAAGTACCTATTCTACAAGTTGGAATGTCTTTTTAATTTCTCAAGGTTACCGGAAAATCATTACATTACACATCTTAATTACCACATCATGTATAAATTTAACATGTCATTAAATTTTCGTATCAGCATATACAGATAGATCTACAATTTTTTTCTGGTCTTTCTTAAGTGTTTGTTATATAATTTATTGGTATCACATCATAACCACTCATCATGTTGCTTTTTGTTTGTTAAAAAAATATTAGATAAATGAAAGTTCTTTCACTTACAGGTTAAAGAATGTAGTATGTCGAAAATTTATATTAAAATTACAAATTGCTCATACAAAAATTAAATTTTACAAATAAAATATTTAATTTTTATCAACTCAATCATACTTCGTTTCATGTTGCTTTCATGAAGCGTAAAAGGTCACATTCACTTCTAAATATCTGAATAAAACATGTCCAATGTTCACTCTTTTGAGAAAAGACTTGGATTAATATAGAGGAGTTTAAAAATCAGAATTAAAAAAAAAAAAAAAGTTTAATTAGAAAGTGCCATGTGCCAACTGCGAATGAGCATACAGTTGGTATGAGTTTGGTTTTTGCACGAGCAAGCTATGAGGTGAAATATAACACTATTATCTAATAAATTTAAGTATTTGTAATTTTTTATTTTTTTCAAGTTGTAATTGTCTTTATAAAAAATATAATAATTAAATATCAATTAATTATTTTTAAATTAAATACTTTATTTAATTAATTATTTCTAGAGAAAATAACCATTTACGGGATGTTAATTTTTTAACCACCCCAATTTGTAATTTCCCCATTGTTTCAAAGAAAGAATAGGTTGAACACTTGGATCTGAAAGCGAAGTTTGTAATATATACATACTCAATAATAATTGTTTGGATAAATATATACTCAACAATAATTAAATTGCTTCGGAGAAGAATTTGTCATCACTACGCTTTAATTAATTGTTTTGTTGTGATTTTTATATATTTTGATTAGTAGAATCGAAACGAAGAGAATCTATCCACTCAGAGAAGTTCGATAAAATTGAATTAGAGTTGATTCATTTTCTATTTCCAAAATAATATGGTAAAACTAGAGATAACAACTTAATTTTTATTTTCATTTTCTAACATTCTGTGTAATTACCACTTTATTGATTTGTTTTTTATTTTTATAAAAATTACAAGATAAATGTATCCAATTTGACAAAAAAAAATGCTATATTTAAAGAATATAAATTCAAATAATCAAAAATTAACAATATGATGATTGTATTTCCTTCTTTTTTTTTTTTTCAAATGAATTTTTTTCTGCAATGACTATATGATTGAGTAGTTGATTTTAAATAAGGAAATTGAGCAATAGGAATAATCAGGTTTGTAAAATTGGAGTCTTAATCATTTTTAGGTAGCAACGAGCTCACATGTCATGTCAGGCTATAAAAGCTTAACAAAGGTACTAAGGCACTTGATCTTGTTTCTAATATTTTCTCATTGCCGCCGCATGCACTTTGGGTCTAAAATGGCAAAATCACCAGAAGAAGAGCACCCTGTTAAGATCTTTGGCTGGGCTGCTAGGGACACATCTGGTCACCCCTCTACTTTCAACATCTCCAGAAGCTGAATTTTCTCAATTTTTCTTAGTACTTTTGGTTTTACGTGCATACTTACGTCTCTCTCTCTGAACTTTCTGTTCCATGCATTATTTTGAGGATTTTTACATGATTTTAATCAGTGAGATCGGCTTTAATTCTTTGTAATTTTCTTTCATTAACATTTGGCTAAGTTTAATTTCAAGGGAGGGGGCTAAAGCTCATAGAGGTAATTCCTTATAAATGTGATAATGTTTTTGTATTGTATTTAACTGGTGAGTGCATGGCTACTGGTGAAGAAGATGTGAGGTTTAAGGTGTTGTTTTGTGGAATATGCCATTCTGAGCTTCATATCATTAAGAATGAATGGGGCTTCTCCATCTACCCTATGGTTCCTGGGTGAGACCATCCATCTTTTACCATCTCATTCTTGATTCTCCTCTAATTAATATTAATCTTGAATTGTCTTTTCTTTTGATAATATATAGTTTGGATGATTCACGTAATAACAATATATGTTTTCTTTATTGAGTTTATATTTAGATTTTATATAATATCAATAAATCATATGATGTCATATTATTAATAAAAAAATTTTTATAAATCAAGTCTTTGTGCATTTATTTTAAAAAATTATAAAAAATTTTATTTATTC